TTCAAAAACGGTATCATTACTCAAGATTTTCCATCACGTTTAGGCGCATCATATTTCACCAAATTTCGTTACTTATTTTTCATATGTCATTATTATTCATCATATTCCATCATATTGCGTTATATTTCATCATGCTTATGTTTTTTTGTGATGAATTTCGATTTTGCATAGTTTGTCATCATTGTCCAGACATTGCGTCATAGTTTCATCATGTTTTCATGTCATTTCGTCACATTTCAGCATATTCCATGATATTTCACTGTAGTTCATCAAAAATCATAGTTGTCCATCATTTTCCATCATTGTCATCATTTTCATCACGAGGGTCCGAAAAAGCGACCCGAATCGCCCGCAATCTTTATGGTTGTTGACACTTCCGAACTGATCCACGTGACTGTCGACACTTCAAAACCATTTTTTGCTATACGATTACAGCGTTGTTGCGCATGGGGAAAACCAAATCTAGCGGCAGCCCCTGTGCCAATACGTGGCAATCCCTCACACTTCAGAAACGCACGACCCCAACCCCGGCCATCCGCTTTTGAAACGCTTGGAAGAATTGGGGGTTCAAAAATGACGACAGATGCGAGGATCACAACCTCGACCCCGTGATCCTTGTGATTGTCGGCATTTTAGAAACAGCAGGAGGATTAGAAGGCAACGACAATTTCGAGGAACATGGCGGCGACCCTTTCGGTTCGATCGTTGTGAAGGTCAACATTTCGCCGAGAGTTATTTTCCATTATTTTGTTTTGTTGCTTTCCAATTTTTCGTGACATTTCATGACTTTAAGTTGGTTTCCTTCGATGGGTCGACCCGACAGAGGACGTGGAACACTCAGCTTGGTCTTACAGTGTGAAGAAGTGTGCTGTATGCCCTTTGCAGTGCCAACGTGTTCTTGGTTGCATGCCATTTGCACGTGCCGTCATATGTATCGCTGGCCATTGTGAGGGTCACCCCGGAACTCTCAAGTTCCAAGAAGTACTCCACGGAAGTGCGACAAAAAATCCAGATGCGAACATTATCCCTTTGTTCCGCAAAACTTCGACACTCTTCTCGCACCATGGCATTGAATCATCAGCTTGATACGCAGCTCTAGTGATACGCAGTTAACAGATGCTAACAGGACAGGCGTCTTTGTGTTTGCTTACTTGGTCTTATTTGGTCCTGCTCAACATTTGCATTGGCCTGTCTTGACTACGCCTTGGACATGATGGACCATGCTGCGCGGCTTCCTTCCTTGCACGTGCGTCGTGTGATGTTGTACGTCATTGTATGGCAGCTGCCAAGTTCTTTGGGTTGATGCTGATTGGTCAGTTTGTAGCATTGCCACACAGAAGCAAGCAAAGCCAATATATGTGCAAGGATGTGCAGGGCAGAAAAGCATTTATCTATTGCTCCGTCTAAGGACCACTTTGCGGTTGCTTTGAGGAAGGCAGAGGAGGATTTGAAATCCAAATCAGAGGCCCAGTCTGCAATTTAGGCAGGGACCATTGTTTCCGCCTACTGAGCGCTCCCCCGCTCGAATATGATTTGCAAAGAGTCAAATATACGAAAACCAAAGCATTGGCATGCACCCTCGCTGGATGTTGCATCTTCTATCCCCGGAGGAGCTGAGGAAGGCGGATATTGAACTGCAGAGGCGAACGCTTTTGTTTTAGGGAGATTTCCTGATGAGCTTGTATCCGCTTCCTGTTCTGACAGCTCTGGATGAGTGGAGCATTGGGCATTGGCTCGATTGAGGCAAGAGCGTGCCCAAGCCGAACTGGTCCAGCTCAGACAAGAACTAAGCGCGGGCAGCTCAAGTTTGTTGAATGCAGGTATGGGACGGACCCACTTGTGCTTGGAGACTTTGTTTCGCTTCCAGGTCGAGCAAAGATTGTCTTCCTCAAAAGCTGATGAGGTCAGCCGATTGGAGATCAGCTTGCAACAGGCAGCGCGCAATCTCCAGCACTCCAGCTGTTGAATTTCGAAGCCTTCCGTCGAGGAGAGGCAACGGTGCACATCACTGCAAGAGGATTGGCGAAACGCTCCTTGCTGCAATGTGGCATTCTGGACATTTTATGCTCAATATCGGGTTGCTGCTTTGCCATTGTGGGGAAATTGCCCTTGCCCAAACCACGGTATCGATTCAAAAGCATTCATGCTCATCCATGCAGAAGCATGCCCAAGCCATACTGACATCTATCTGCGACCGCAGCTTTCTCCTGGAGAATTCAAACCATGTAACGTACTGCGCTCAAGTGCCACCGCTTCCTGGATCCAGGGCGCATATGCGCCGACCGTGCTGGCGTCCATGTAAGACCGTACCCTATCCTGACAACAAATTGCCAAATAATCAGAACTTGTATCAACGTCTATGTACAATTGTGCCCACACAACAAGAATGTCTATGCACCACGGAATTTTTTACCAGGTTATCAATGCCCCAGTGATGAGCGCTGTCCACGTACGGTTCAATTTCTTTCCCGGAGCATCCATGCTCAAAGCATAACGTCAGATGCGTCTGCATCCTTTCTTTGGAGCATCCGTTTCCAAACCGCACGGAATTTTATTAGCGGGAATGCAATTCATGCTTGGTCGAGCAGCTTGGGCGACCTGTAGTTGTTGTGTCTACGTGTTTTGTCTAAGTGCTTCGCCGCGCAGGAGATTGTTAAATTGTTTAGGCCTAACATCGTGCAGAAGCTTTATTCTCAGCCACAACGTCCGTAAAACCACGGGACTTTACTTCGTGTCTTCGGCTCAGTGTCAGCGATGACAAAAAGGACGGGGACATAGTTAAAGACGAGGTGGTTATTGTCTTCTCGAGGTCGCCATGTAAGTCTGCGGTACCGTGCCGTCGGTTCGCAATGGACCCGATTGACAGAGCTTGAACATTTCGACCTTTCGAATTTGCCACACCGAATGGGAGCAGCATGGAAGCTTTAGACCTGCCTACCCTGAGCTGGAATACAAAGACGCTCGCCAATCGTTTTGCAGGCTTCCAGCCGGGTGGTAAATGTTGCTCCAACTTTCTTCCAGTCGCGTCAACAGAGCGAGATGCAAAGGTAGCAAACTGTAGAGAAGTGCAATTGGGTCTGGGGCGTTTGCCGCTACCAAGCTTTTGTTCCCGTTCAAGATTTCAAATGGAGGCTCAGAGCCTGGCAGACACAGCTCGTGCTGAGCTGCTACAAGCCAGTCGAGCACAAATTGAGCAGGCGAAGGACTCCCAGCACGTGCTGGCCTTCCGAAAAAGTCTACGGTTGCAGTTAAGCAGGACATTGAGGTCATGTCCGTGAAGGCTGCAACCAGGCAGGCGGAAATTCTGAAGGAGGTCCAGGACACGGCGCTTGACATGTGGATGCAGAACGGCAGATCTCGCGGATTTGTTTTCTTGATCAATGGCACGGCCTTTGAAGGAGTTGCGTGATGAGCTTGCAGAGGAGCGTCGCAAGGCGCGTGTGAAGGCCTGATGGACATGTTCACCCAATTTGAGGGTGGGGGCATCGAAGCTGCCCAAACTCTTTCGCGCAGGACTCCGAAGCCGGTAAACCAGGGCAAACCAGTTGGAAGCCAAGCGCGGAGTGTCAAGAGCTGCTTTCAGATGAACATCCTACTGTCCACGGCTTGCAGTTGTTTGGAAGTCTAAGGTCCTAAAGCCGCTGCCTATCCCAGCTGTTGGTTTGCATTCATTGTTTGGGTTTGTTTTGCAGAGCACTCTTTGCCTCTTGACGTTCAGGGTCTTGGGAAAATCGTGCTGCAAGCTTTTCAGGTCTCAAAATTTGTGGAAGTGAAAGTGTTTCTTACTTGGCTTAATGTTCCAGCTCGGCATTCATTTTTTCAGTTCAGGCAGCATGCATTCGTTCACTTCAGGCTTTTCTGAGTTCTTCTTGTGACTTGGATGCACCTTCCAAACGGAGCTTGTGCACAAGCAGATGCCGCACGCATGGTTGGTCCTGAGTTGGTAGTGCCGTATTATGTGCTGGGGTTGTCTTGATGCCCAATTCTGGATTGTGACAAGCACCTCCTATCCTTCGGATTGGAATCTTGAGGAGTCACATGTGTTGCTCTCGTGGGCACAACCACACCGTGTTGATCCCGGCAACTTGGCACTGCTACAGATGCAAGGTGTGGTTGTCAGCATGAACTATGCCTGTGAGCTGATTGGGACCTTTCTCACTGCAATTGGCCTCATGGTGCCAAGCAGGGAAGGTCATGAACTACAGGTGCATCAAGCAACCAGCAGCAATCGACCAGATGCTTAGGCAGCTCAATAAATTTCCCGTACCCCTTGTGCCTGGAGTGAATGATAGTGAGCTCCTGCAAATGCAACTTTGATTTCACACTATTCAGAAGTTGAGCATGTGCTTGCACGTGCTTGCACATGTTTCTGGTCGTGTCTCAAGTACAGGTTGCAGTCACACGTGTTTATGACTTTTAAAAAGACCTGCTAAGGCCGGAGATGAAGGCAGTCAAGCAGAAGTGGTCCGTTTGGACCGCGCTGGGAATACAATTTAGATTCGTTCCACAAATGCCAATCGTCAGCAATTCACAGTCCTGTGGATCTGCAATGCAGGATGGCAGCACAGCTTCCGAAGGGCCTATTCGAGCTGGCTGACAGCTGCTCTTCCATCAGCCTCAAGAGCAAAGCGGCCTCCATCAAGCGATATCCTGTGTAGTGTGATTCCTTTCCAGGGCAAGAGCAGTGTGCCGCAGAGGATCTGTAATCAGGATGACACTGCGTACTGTACAGACATTGGTCGCCTAGCTGCAAAGCAGCGAGATTGCGAAGGTTTTGACATTGGGGCAGTGGATCTCTCCAGGCATCTTGAAAAGATGCACCCCTTTTTTCTGGAGCCCTGTTGGATTTTGCTGTACGGCATGCTGTCGGTGCCTGCCCTCGGCCTTAAACCAGTGAACTTCTGTAGCGAGTCAGATTACAGTCCTGCTGGAGTCCTGCTTGTTGTGCTTATTTGCTGGACGAGTACATCTACGTTTTCGCTAGCATCTTCCAGTGTCAGGCCAAAGCCGCTTGCGATAGGCTGGTCATAAGAACTCCGGAAGACTTCGAGGCCTAGGTACTGTATGCAAGGCACATGAAGTTTGAGACTAGCAATGGCGCTGCCAGGCATGGGCCATGAGAGCAGAGGCCGTGTTGTTTGTCGTTTATGTATCTTCCTGGCTGTGACTGCAGTTGCAGGTATATTCCCGGTTCGAGAAGGTAGGGTACCCCAAGGCACCGCTGCGTAAAATCACCGGCAGGGGTAGGAACCTTAACTCGCAGGAAACCTTTGAGTCCTATGAGGCGATGTTTGATCTGGTCAAGGCTTTCCATGACACCTGTGCGTGAGGGCACCCACACAGCAGCCAAAGTATCGCAGGACAGCGCTGCGGCATGCGCCCGCGTTACCCCGCAAATGTGGAACAATTGGGGCAGGGGTCCTGGCATCCAGTACCCTCATGCTGAGTATCTTGTAGATCTTGTAGTCAGTCAGCAATCCATCGTGATTTTTAGGCACGATGTTGGCCGTGTATGGTGATCCAGGGCTAGCCCAAGAGGCAGGTCTTCCATTTGCGCAGATTGCCTGGGAGAGTAAATGCAGAGAGGTGTGGCGCATTGATTTCAGGCATACGTGCGTGGCATAAATTCCCTTGAGGAGAAGCCGCACGACTCAGATAGTCGCTTGCAACCGTGCAGCCATGTGCCGCTAAGATCCGCTAAGTTATCCAGTCCTTACGATTCCAGTCATCAGCCTGTGACATGTCTGAGTTCTTGCGACATGTCTGAATGCAGCGCTCGACCTTACATTCATTTTGTGAAGACTGCAGCTGGGCAGCTGCCTAACGAGAATGACAAAAGCTTGCATTGTTTCTTTGGTTTTGTGCTGCGTACTCTTTTACTTGAAGCCTTGTGTTTTGTTGTAGAAGAAACTGAAACCGAGCCACAGCCAGCCGCGCAAGCTCACCGCCGTGTCTTACGGGGCCCCGGCTGGGCCACGCCTCTCCAGCGCCTCTCCAACAGCAGTCGGAACAGATTGCTCAGCTCCAGGGGCGCTGCACAAAAGGCCACCACTTTGCACGCGGAACCAACAACCTCAAACTCCAAGACCCGCCTGTGAAACTTGGTGGGGTTGATTGAAGTAAATGACGTTGCAGTCCTCAGTTGAGAAGGCCAACATGGTGTGCCACACTCGCGATCTCCCAAGTGAAGTCGAAGGCTATGGAAGGATGGCATGCGTGTTCGGGAATGAATGCCAGACTTCCGGAAGCGAGCGGGATGCGCGGATGCCGGTGCATGCCAAGCTCCATGTGTTGCAAGAACCGCAACGCGTTTGGGGTCGTTTTTTCGTGAAGTTCAGAACACAGCAGAATTCCTTGGATCCCAGTGCTCTTCTTTGAATTGCCACAATTAGCGATGCGCTAAGTATGCTAAGTATGCTTATTGCCAGCATGGCTAAGCTCAAGGCAACGCCTCGGAGATGCTGTCGGCCAAGCAGCAAAGGACCTGAAAGATGCGGAGTGTTGTTGATGCGTTTGGACAGTTTGCCAGGATCTCGACGCAGCTCACATCACTTTGAAATTCAACAGGGCCTGGCTTGCTGCAAGCACGGGCGGTGACATGCTAGAGGTGGGGCATGCTGCTTTCAGCGTTTGCTTGCATACAGCTCATGCAGACTCAATCCTCATGGGCCGGCCCTTTGCGAATGGAAAGGGGTTGTTTTTTGGAGAATGCCAGCCGAATCCCTCACGGTGCTGGGGCATGTCAATTGCTGATTCATTTTTATCGCTTGTGTTAAGATCTTACAATGAGAGCAATTCCACTGCAGGGCGTTTGTCAGGCCATCCATGTGTACATCGGCCTCGCAGAAAGATGCAAGTGGTTTGCCGATGCATTTCTCCAGCTTGGATTGGAATGGCGGTGGCCTCAGAGGCATGCTGATCAATGTGAGGATGCGCTCGTAGCTGAGGCAGCGCGTGGGAAAGACGGATGAAGCTATGAGAAATTTCCAGGAGGCCAGGGTGATTTACTGCCTTTGCTCATTGCTTTTCCTTGGCAGTCAGGCCATGAAGCACAGCCCCTTCATGGGCAAGCTTCTTTGTTCCGAGGACAGCATGGCATAGCAGCGAGTAGCCCGTGTTGCTTGTATCTTCTTCGACCTGTGCAAGGCACTGCGAGAGTCAGGCAAGTACCCGGAAGCGCTGAAGTGGGGTGATCGTGCAGCCGATGACCCGACTTACTTATCTGATGTAGCACTGCAATATGGCAGAGGGTTTAATAAATAAATAGGCATCAAACAAAACAAATAGAGATCAACAAAAAACTAATAGTGAATCAAAACAACGATTACTGGATTTAGTAGCAAAACTCAAAAGTTGTAGCCGTCCGAGCTTGATTAACCAAAAATATTGGAGCACCGAGCTGGAAGAATAGGGCAAGAAGGAAATACAGAAATACACAAATAACTACAGAACGAACCAACCATTTTTCCTTAAGCCATTTTGTCTCTAGTCTCCGCTTGCCTCATTTTGGGGGTGTTCGCTCGGCCGGCACCTGTAACCGGGGGATTGCTGGCGTTCAAGCCTGCAGGGGTGGACGTGCCATTGCGAACGGGGTTTGAGGCCTCCCGTTGTTGCTGTTTCGGGGGAACACTTCATCCCCGCTTCTGACGGGGGGTAAGAATACTTCTCATCCCGTGAAACCTTGCGGTTGGTCCCAGGGAATGCCGGATAGATTGCGCAGTTAAGCCTTCTTTCGTACGTATTTGGGAATTGCGCGGGATCCTGAGCGACTCTTGCCGGGGAGCGTTGGGGAGATGAGTGCTGCCCCAAGAACCAATGAACCAGCCGGGGCAAGCAAGCCGATTGATATGGAAGTTCCCGTAAGAAACCGCGAGGGAGATACGTGGAAGTTGGAGGAGTCTTTCTGGAGAAATAACATGAAATAACATAACGCTCTTGCCCCGGTACTTGCAGCGCTGCAGGAGTTCTGGAGAGATTGCACGCAGTGGAAAGCCAGGTCTTTCAGGAGTTGGAAGCCGCAATTGACATGGTCAGGACGGCAAAAAGCTCAAGAAGAACACATCCAAAAACTGGCGGAGACAGTGGCCAAACAAGATGAGAAACTCACGCAACTGGATGCGCTTGAAGCCAAGGCGGTGGGGACGGCGTGGAAGGTGGCAACTGCGAACCAGCGGGAAGATGAGAGGCCGAGGCCAGCACGCAGACTTGGCGGCTTGATCGACGACCAGGACGCGGAGGTGACCACGTCCAGAAAACTTATGCACAAGGTGAAAAATGCCACCTCACTCGAGGACCTCTGTGTCCCAGGGAAGAGGCGAAGTTATTGCGTCATACATTACCCCTGAAGCGATAGGAAGGGGAAAATAGGAGGGGAGATGTACCAGAAGTGCATGCAGGCCATCAGCAAGGCTATGACAGAAGAATAGGAGCGAAGGACGCCGGTGGAAGAAGCAAGGTCTTGTAGATGACAATTTCCCAGCCACCGGAGCAACGGAGGAGAGCATGGTGTGTTGGAAAAGTCAAAAAGGCTTGTGCTGGAATTGGCGGAAGAGAAGAAGTGTGCCATTGTGGTACAACCGGAATATAAGACAGGGACGGTTTGGGCGGAGGGCGCCAGAATTGCAAGTTTGACTACCTATAGGATCCAGCCGCAGCTCTGGAAGGACCGCTGGGCTGCAGCTGGAATGCAGGCGACAAGTGGAGGAAGAGTGAAGAACAGCATGAAACAAGGCCAAAGGTTATAAAGCCATGTCAGCATGCAATCCTAATCCCAAGGTGCTGCAATGTGTTGCACAATCTGTTTCATCTACCGTGCCCAATTTTCAGTACAAAGTTGGCTTCGCAACGACTAATGCCAAACACCCACGCCCGCGCTGGGTAGAGACCACTCACCCAGTGACGACAAAGAAATGGCCAGGGCCAGCGGTTGAGCTTCAGCCCAGGAGGAGATGCACTTGGAATAGGGGTAGAGAGCACTCACCCCAGTCATGTGCCTCGAAAGGCCCAACAACTGACGAAGATAACTCAGAAGGGTGCAGAGACGCTCCAAGGTCAGTGTTGACTTTAATGTGAGACCCTTCCTGTCACAAGGAAAGGATCGGGTAGAGATCACTCACCTTGATATTGTAGCTGATAGCGCCCTCAAGGGTAGATAGAGGGGCTTCCTTATCAGCTCAAATGACCCCCTTGTGCCCGAAACGCTGTGAAGAGTTGCGTTGTGTTGGCTGAGATGCTCAGCAGGGAGTGGAGACGCTGGGTGCTGCCCTGAGTCCCTTCCCAACGTGAGGCATTGGGCTGAGAATGCTCGTCTTGGTTTGTTTCACCTGCTACTGTTCCATCTTCAGTGAGTCTGACTCCTGATGGCTGGCCAAACCGCCAAGGCACCGCTGAGTAGCTTTGAGATCGAACCTCTGCCATGTGTGTAACACATCATGGGGTTTGACTAAGTGCCAGGGTCAAGTTTCACAGCATACTATGGCAATACCTTGATACTACAAACATCACCATCCAATTTCTCACGCGTCTGTCTTTTGCCCTTTCGGCTCTGGCATTCAGTAGCCGTCGTCGCACGTATTCCCTTGGTTTCTCCCCAACACCATGCTGTTCTTTTTCTTTCGCAGGCAACAGAGGAGATTTTTGCCACCAACGGGGAGGCGGGCGCAAATTGTTCAGTTTGACTCGCAGCTACCCCGGGCAAGCGCCGACTGCAACTGTAAGGGGAGCGCTGCGGAAGGGGAACTAGTAGCAGGTTTTCTTGTAGGCCGCTGTTGATGCCACGCAACATCAGAGGGGCTGATCAGCCGGGATGTTCAGCGCGGTTGTGGCGCCATGTGCCGGCTATCCGAGCTTCTGGGGCGGCGTCTTCTGGTGGTCGAGCTGCAGCTGTCCACCTACATCGACAGCCCGCTCTTCATGTTCGTGGGCTGTTGGGAGAGATGTGCCTTGCTCTGCTCTAGGCATCCAGATTGCCTGGGGCAAGGGGGAGCGAGGTGTGGAACTGACATTGTGTGCTTCAAAGTTGCCTGGAGAGACGGGGAAGATGTGGCCTCACCCCTACCAAGGAGCTTTGTGCCGTGGCAGAAAGACAGCCTGGGCCATCTACAAACGCAGCAGCTGGGCCACCTCTGTCCTCTATGCAGCGCTGGCAAGCCACACCAGGAAGAGGGAAGGCAAAGGTGCTGCGGCCAGAGAGAAGCTCACTCCAGTCAAACGCTTTGAGATTGTGAGTGTTGCCGTGTGACTCCACAAATCAGCGAGTCAGCAAAAGGTTCATGTTCCAGGCTGCCAGTTGTGTTGAGGGCCGCAGGCCCTTGTGCCGTTTCTCACAGGCAAGTCTGTGACACGTTTTCAATTGACCCGTCCAGGCGGGCCACTGAGCCCCGCCACCTCAGGATCGCGTATGAGTCGTTCGGGTTTGGCTGGCGGGAACCTTCCTGCAGCTGGAGCTCGCAACATTCTCCTGCTCGTTGGGCGTCAAAGCGCCGTGATAACTCATGTCGGAGCTGGTAGATGCGGTGCTTCCGGAGGCAGGGTCTTCGTCATCTCCGCGTGCGAGAGCAACCTCATCCCACGGAACCTCGACGCTCAGGCAAGCGACCTTATAACCGGATGGATCAACCTGCGCCTGGAGGCTTTGATGAGCGTGCAAACGGCGTCGGGAAAATTGGCAGTTGCGCGCCTGACATCCAGGAAGGAAGCTAGTCAAGCCCGACCTTGGACGGCTGCGGCGCTGTTCTGGGAATCTCCTCATCTTTACAATTGCGGCCATGCAGCCTCCAAGTTCACAGACGCCGTGAGGATTTCAGCTGATCCAACGAAGGTGGTCGCCGAAGTGCAGTGGAGTCCAACCATCAGCCACAAACACATCGCCGGGCTGACGTTGAGAGTTTGGCCACAACTTTGGCGGGCAGCGCCAACCTCTACCAGCTAACCGTTGACCTGGTCCAAAAGAGCGCCAGTAAGCCAAAATTGCTGTCCGGTGGAGCACGCCGCATTGCTCCGCGGCGTACGCCCACACCTCGTTCGCCCCGGTTGTACTGTCGGCCGCGGCATGATCGCAGACTCAGCGCGCCGCATGCCCCTGTCCACACCCTCCGTGGGATTTTTTTCGAAGGTTGCTGCCGGTAGTGTTTGCAGGGAGCGGTGACATCGCCTCCTCCAGATGATGTCCGAACGCCGTCCCCCCCGTGAAAGCTAGGCGTAGCGCATAGCCCCCGAGCGGTGAGGCGAATGGCCTTGCCAGGATGCCGCCACTTCCGTTTTGGTTGGTCTGGAAGTCTATTGACGGCGAGGTGGGTAAGAAGCCTCGGCAGATCGAAAGTGTCTCACCAGATCAACCCGAGCAAGATCCGTTTAGCGTAAGCCCATGTGCCACGCGGCCAAGTTGGAGACAAAGGGTAGGAAGCGGCGTGGCGAGCGCATGCAGAGGCGCAAAGAAAATTGTCGCTGGGTTGGAGGGTGGTACGTGATTATGCGTGGCAGTGTCTCGGAGTACAGCGCACGGTACCACTCATCGTGCTTGGGAGGAGGGTGGGACATGTGCTCTTCGCTGCTGTGGGCTGCGCAGTTGGCTCACGCGACAAGTTTTGGATCCGACCCCAGCAGGCGCCGGGATGCTGATTCTAAAGCCGCTCATGCGGGGGCTGGTGGTGCAGGCGCCGGGACATTGATTGAAAGACCGCTCATGCAGAGGCGCAAGGAAAATTCATGCTAGGTCGGAGGGTGCGACTTGATTATGCCTGGCAGTGCCTCCATTTCCTCTCTATTTATTCATCATGTTCATTATTTTCACAGTTTCATCATGTTGTCATATTTTCATATTTTTCCATCACCTTTCATAAGTTTTCATCGTTGTTATTTTTCTCATCATTTTGATCATGTTCATCTGCGTCTCATCAATCGAATCACATTGCCGGATCAAAAGAGCGGAAGAAAGCACATGTTGTAATCTTTGTCCAGGTTTTGCAATTGGGGGGGGTGCGCCCTCCCAACCCCCTGCTGCTACTTTACAAAGCCCATTCTTGCAAGCATATGTCATCATTTTCCTCGCCATGATTTTTCCATCAATTGCATCTTTCTTCATTCTTTTCTAATCTTTTTCATTATGTGTCATCATTTTCATCGCTTCTACTGATATTTCATGATCTTTTGGCTATCTATGATTGTTCACCATCTTCATGATATTCTTATGATCCTGATTTTTAAATTATTCTTTGATGATTTTCAGTATTTTCAGCATTGTCATGATTTTGCATCTTGTCTCATTCTTTCATTTATTTTTCATCATTTTCATCATTTTCTCCATTCTCATGATGCTTCATCATTTTCATAATTTGTCGTCACATTTTTTCATCTCTCATAATTGTCCATGACGTTTTCTTGATTTGTATGATCTTCCATCATTTTTCATCACTCTCCATAATTTTCAATATTTCTTGTTTTTTCATCCTTTCCACCATTTTCATCATTCTTCATGAGTTTCCAATATTTTCCATGGTTTTTGCCTCACCATTCATCATTCCATTCTGTTCATGATTTTTGCATTTCTTAGCATTCCCATGAATTTCCATCATTTTCACCGTTATTCCTTATTTTTTTTCGTGGTTTTCCATCATGTTTCATCATTTTCATGATTTGTCATTATTTTCCATTATTTCTTATCTTGTTTCCACATTTCCTATATTTCTGTTGCTTTTTATGATTGTCCATCATGTTTCATCATGCTTCATCATGTTTATCATTTTTCAGTATTCTTATGATCTTTCATCATTTTCATGGCTTTCATCATCTCCGTCATTTTCATCATATTTCATGATTCATCATCATTTTCATAGTTTTACTATTTTCATCATGTCATGTTCTTTCTTAATTCTGATTATATTTATGTTTTCTTTAACGATTCTTCGTCACTTTTTCATTGATATTTATGCATGTTTTTCATCACATTTCATCATTTTCATAAGCTTTCATACCTCTTCAATTTTTTGATCCTCGGATTGGGCTTCGTTCTATTTTTTCATGTTCTTCACTCATGATTCTTCATCGTTTTCTATTATTTTCCATTTTTTCATTATTTTTCAAAGAGATTTCATGTGCTTCCCTGAGTTTTCATGCATTCCACGAGCTTTCATGATCCCTGGATTTGGCTTCGTCCTACTATGCCAACAACTGTTCATTTTCTTTTGATACCTGTTGGTTTGTATTTGATCATTTTTTTTTGATGCCTGTTTGTTATTTGAATCCTCCACCCAACCAACATATGCTGGCCGAGGCAAGACACGCACGTCATGACCAGATTCACTACGCCTGCGTTTTTGCTGGGAACTTGTATTTTGAGGTGCACGCCCTCAGACTTGCAACCACCATGCGCAGATGTGTATGGACTATCGCGCATGTAGTTCTGGATAGGCTTCGAATCATTACAAGACCAAAAGTTCTAGCAAAGACGGCTATCTGCGAAAGGCTCTGATACGGGTTCTGCTGGCAGTCAACAGTCGCAAGATACATATATATATATATATATATTCATGTAGATATATCAAGAGCCGAAGGCAATGAAATACTTTGTCAAAGCTCTGGCAGCCAAGAAGGCCTTTTTTCGCATGTTGTTAGCTGTTGGGCAAGTGGAGTCCAGATCTTTGAATTTGAGAAAGGAAGGAAGCCTGTCCGAGGACTGTCAGTTTGCTGCCAACGGCATTGGGATGGTGTTTGCTGAGCGTGGAAAGTTTGCGCGAAGCTCAGACCTATAGCCGGCTGACTGTGGTTTTGTGTACTTCGCTCCAGATGCCCAGCACATGGAAGGCCACGCAACGATTGCTGATACGCAGCATGTTCATGAAAAATTCTCTGCAAGCCTTACTTGTTCATATTTTTTCCTAAGCACAATATATTTGTCAACCATATGGTCTCAAAAAGAACCTGCGCGTTATGTATTAAGGGGTCAAATTCCACGCAACCCTGCAGCTCGGGATGTTCTCCAAAATGTTCAGTAGAATACACTCGTGTTGAATTGCATGTGTAGCCCTTAGTTCACTAATTGCCAAAATCCCCACTATGGATTTGAACTCTACGTGCTGACAGGGTGGGTGCCTTGGAGCGATTTTTGTGGGGGTCTTGCACTTGGGGCCACCAATCCTTCCCGTCCCAACCCTTTTGCCGCATCCCTGACGCGTCACGAAACTACAAACAAAGCCTTCTGCCATTCCACAAAAGTGAGGTAGCTGGTGAGCATGGTTGGTGGCGGGGACCTAGGTACTACCAATTATATGGCTATCCTTGCTTTGTTGCCGCTATCATTGTTTATCATTCGGTTTTATGGTATGACCGTCGTGACTCGCTACATTTTACAGAGCTCTAAATGCTTGACGAGCATTGCTGGGTTTCCAAGCATTGATCTAGCGCATTTAGTTCGATGTGACGCAGCGTCTTCCGAAGTCTTGCCATGTGATGTGCCCTTATCTCCCATTGGTCCTTTGTCTTCCCCGTGGATGTGCGCAGTGAAGCACCATTCAGCAAACTGAGACAACATTCAGCAGACAGGCTTCAAAAATGGCAACTCAGCAGTCAAAAACAGCAATGGCCAGAGTCAAAACCCTGAAGACCACAATTAGAACGCAAGAAGGCTACAGTCAGCAAACAGGCAGTGGGCAAGAGTCAAGAGCACACAGGCCACAAATGGAAAACGCCTCTGGGGTGTTTTATCTCATCTTGTAGAATGCTTTGTGCAGTCTTTGCATGGCAGGGGAGACGTCTTCTGCAATGAAATGGAAAGATTCTTGCACTCAGCCATCGTTTCTGATGGCGTCACGGGAAAGAAGCAGAGCGACTTGTTTCAGGCATGTCCTTTGGCAGGGTCACAGATCAATTGAATGCTCTGCAATACCCTTCCTTCCAGGTGCTAACCGTAAACGAACTGTGGCTGTTTATGAGCATTTAACATGAGAGGCATTCACGTTTTCAAAGCAGCGGACATGATTCAACAGACGGGGGGGTCGGGCGAGGGCAGCACCGCCAGTTGCGAACCAACGTGGCATCTGTTCATGATGCGGTTTCATGTTTTACAAAAAGCCAGGGGTTTGGGGGGCACAGCCCCCACCGTTTGCAAACCCAAAGAACGTTGCCGGTTTGACGAGGATTTATGAAGACACCTGTGAGGGGTTCTCGACTATTACACATAATGCGTGGGTTCTCGACCATTGCACATCATACGGGTGCATATTTTTTTAAGAAGGAGCGGGGAAGCCACATGCGCAGGCAGACACGGGTGCGTGCACGCTGAGGGTTGGCCTTGGCCCTGCGTCCTGCGGCAGGATATGTAAAGCTGTTTGCGGTCTGCCTCTGCTGCGATGATGTTTGCGCGGGTCGGGGACCAAACATTGATATGCGCCTGTGTGTTGGCGTCGCTACTGGCAATACCCGCACGGGAAGAAGCTGCCTCCATCATCAGTGAAGACAGCCTATCACAGCACCGCATGTCCTGAAGAGCTTCGAACACCATGTCTTTGAGCACCATGTCTTCGAATCCTATGTCAGGAGCTTGCCAAGCAGGCTTTCCAATCCGTCGTGAACCATCAGGCAGCAGTAGATTGTTCCCCCCTTCCTGCTAACTCCCTCTTTTTCTTTGTCAGGGCATGGAAGACAACCCTTCAGTGAGACTTGACTGCAATAATCATTTCTTGTCTAGGCTGGCAGGCAGCAGACGAACAGATTACCAGTGCGCGCATTTATGTGGCAGGCACATCAATCTGGCGCACTCGTACGTGCAGGCCAATACGAGTGAGAACGACATCAGGACAGGACTTGATAGATTCGGGGGCGCAGCGAGATTTTGCACGCTATCGTAGCTGGCCAGGAAAGCCATTGATTTGTACCGCGCGGCCAAGAATCTTGACCCGGAAGACAAAAACGTGCGCCAATCTGGCCATCTTTCACAGACTGCTTCAGCTGCACGATGATGTGACGTGGATCCCGTTGTGGCACTGATCTGTTGCCCAGTTTTTGCAAGAGGTGCGAGCATACATTGCCAAAGCCCACTTCATGTTGCAGGAGCAGAGTTAGTGCTGGTAACCCTACGTCGCCTATCCATGACTAGCAGGAGTACGAGGATTGTAGAGACGTCTTGGCCGAAGCGATCTTCTTCAAGTCATGCGCCAAGCTTTTAGTAGAGCAGTATACAAGCAAGTACGCTCCGTGCGCTATATTCGTAGAAAGTGAAGCAACTGAGGGGGCCTGATGACATTCCTCTGCTCTGGAACCAGATAATTTGCTGGGAGGCATGGGCCAGGTGTGCGGCCTAGCCTACGTCCAAATGCCTGCCCACAACACCGGTCCAAGATGACGACATGCCAGGCAGGTGCTTGGGCAACAAGTCGTTGAAAGAAAGATGACGTACGAGGACCTGATCCAGAAGGCGCGCATGCATGGGTGTAGCTCTGCTGATTCTGGGCATCAACAGCCTGCGAGGTGAAGGACGTCCTTGGCTCCCTGTTGACCGCCGTCCGTACTTGCAGGTTCATTCAGTTGGAGTGGGAAAGAATGCCATGCTCTTATTCCGACCTGTCTCCCGCTGTGTTCAGTTGTTGACGCTGAGCTTTCGGTTGAGGTCGGACTCTGAGCGTCGCCGCGTGGCTCACTCTATTCGCAAATCAGAGATTTTACTGAAGGAGTGCTATGTATGACAGAGGAAGGGTGCTACGCAGCCACATATGTTTGTATCCTGACGGTAATGCTTAATTTCCATTTATATCCCCTCCTTTCGTCTAAGATTAGGGCCCAGCGGTAGAAGGGATGTGTATTGACAAGTCTAGCCCAGTGATAGACGGAGAGTCTGGACTGCAGTCAAAGGTTTCTTCTTTTTTCCATCCTGGTAGAGCACGCATGAAGAACTCACGGATCATCAAGCAATCATTTAGGACAAGGTTTAGAAACCAATCGGCACAAATTATGCACCCCGAGACCTACTCCACTGCGAACCGCCGCTGATTTTGCCAATTCTGTTGTACGTTTAGCGTACTTTTTGTGCTCCTGCTGCCTATGCTTTTTGTGACCGGTGTTTGCCAGGACCTTGACGACCTCGATTCTCATATTACCTACTGTGAACATTTGACGCGTCTTGCGAGGGCCTGAATTCGATGTAGTGCAATTGACGTGTTACTGTTGCTGGAAGCCAGTGATGGCAAGCGCCTCCAAGGGTACCCTGAAGTTGGACGACCTTTCTGTAAAGCACCAGACAATGCAGCATCAGTGTTGCTGGCGACTTTTATTATCTTGGTTCCGTTTGCAATGGCTCTGACATTCAATGACGTCCCGCCCCATCCCGCAATATTTAATATTCCAGGGCTCCCAAAATTGTTTCACACTAGGGGGGGTTGCTCTGATTTCTCCAGTCAACCAGAGAAGATGAATTATTTCAATGAATTATGGCCGCCAGGTATCACACCCGTGCATTTTCGCAGCTTTTCGTCTAAACAGATCCATACGTGGGTAATATTAATCTCAGTAGGGTTCACACATCCCACTAGAGTGCTTCAAATAACTACTGCACTCCTTGTGTTGTACAATCTTGTTGGGGAATCCCGTTCGCTACAATGTGGGTGAAGGGTATTCAATATGTGCTACGCTCCTGCTCTGTTTTTGTAATGCAATCAGCTGCTCTGAAGCTTCTGCGGCTCAGCCGCTTCTAGGATGTTGTTTGCATGGGGCTGTCAGCTGGCTCTTAGGAAGCTTGCAAAGAAAAGTTCTGCTTCCACACCCGACATGCAATCTTTCCTGAGGATCTGCCTTCCAGCACATGCGTGACATGAACAACTCTAGTGTACTCAAGATAATAATGTCATAATGTCTCCCAGCGCACTGGCACCCAGCCGTGACACGGAAATCACTCCAACGCCGGCCAGACATAAGCCTAGCTGCACACAGGCAGCATTTGAGACCCGTTTTGTGCTCGACCCACTTATGCTCCGAGGCTGTGGGGTCAGTTAAGAGCACCTGGAACCATTGTTTTTTAGTTGCGGGCCTGCAAGCGAGACACCCACCACTCAAACACATCAAGCAAGCGGGTCTGAACTTTCCAAGTCCTGGCATCTAGCCACTGGAGAGCGCTCTCAGCTGCTGGATTGAAAAGCGAATCAACCCTCTGACCGGCCAAGTCATCTGCCTCAACATTTCCAAGCCACATCCACCAGAGACTCTGCTCATATTGGGCAAAGTGGATTCGGAAAGGTGAGATTTAATTTTATGCAGAGAAAGTCGACGACTCTTCTGAGCACTCTTGACAACAGACCACAAATCACCATGAGATTTAGGCACAAACCGCGGCTGACGGCAGTTCCGGAAAGTACGCAGCACATAGCTAGCATCAGTGCAGAGCTCCAGCTGACCCACAGTAGCTTGGATGGCCTTCACCAGGGCCGTCAGTTCAGCCCTCGGAACTGACTGGATGGGGCCGATTAAATTGCCAACAGCACTGCCAAGCACGGAGCAAGATGCAGGCTGACCTTCAACAACAACAACCAACGCCCATGCACAGCGCCTCAAGCGCGGATCAGTCGAACTTGCACCAGGACCTCCTGAGCCATCTAGGCAAATTTTGGCTCCAGGCGGGAGGTTGACTGGCCATGGCTGCCTCAAAATACCATGGACAATTATGTCCTCAGTACAGATAGGATCCTGCTGACTCCAGCTTTTAGGAACCAGTCCCCGCAGCCAGAAACATTGCTGCTCTGGGGTATCAAGATGCAAGGGACACCCACCTGCGGGCATTCCCACAGCCTGTGCTGCAAAGTATCACGATTGCGTCCGCAAGCCGGGCAAGTTCCTTCCTGCTTGAAAGTGTCAGCCTGCACAGCAAGAGCTCCCTGCAGCAACATGTCATGAAAAGGAACCCGATGTGGTGAGTGCTTCAAAAGCCAGACACGCTTGCGCTTTGCAACAGTGAGGTCGGGCAATTGCCCCCCTAACCCTGTAGAACCCTGATGCGCTTCAGCTTTGGCCCAGAGGAAGCTCTCAATTGACAGACGCAACAAAGGGACCAACCATGACTGCAAAGCAGGGTCCTGGTAGTCAAGCTCATGCAACTGGTTGGCAGGATCTCTCCATGAATCCAAACACGAAGCTTCCCAACCTAATAACTCAAACAGAACTAACAGAGCAGCCGCCATAGGGCCCCTGGCAAAAAGCCAAGGTCGTTTTGCGGCAATTAAGCGTTGCCACATGTGAGACCATGCCTTCCTGAGCAGGGCCTGCCTATGAGATGGCGTGTCCTGAAACAAGCGAACCCACGAACTAATCTGCTCAAGCTTCAACTTATAAGCAGGATCCTGGCAAGACTCGAAACTCATGGCCATGGCAACTTCAACATCGTCAAACTTTTTCAACAGACTGCTAACTCGCGCAAGGTGAGATCTACACCTCTGCAGATTCTTGCCACTGATTCCCATGTGTGCATGTCCCCAGAAGGCCTTAGCAAGAATATTGGTCCGAAGCAAACGACCTGCAGCAGACTGAGGAAGTAGGCGCAGACGCGAAGCCTTATGCTTAGCAAGTTTCCAGCCATTTTGCTGCGTGACCGTTCGACGCAAGCGACCCGCAGTGGCTGTGTTGCCTAAGTCTTTTAGCCACGTACCAACTGGCGCCTTGCAGCGTTGTAACCTGAGCTGTACCTTCGCAGCTTTAGCAAGTTCAGCACTAGAACAAAGAATGCCAGATTTCTTGAAAGAGACACAAAGCCGATCATCCTGCAGGGCAAGCGCAGATCTCTTGGCAAACTTAACTGTACGTCGCGCAAGCCGTGCGCGTCAGAATCTTCAAGGTCAACTCCAATATCGTCCACCCAAGTGGAGACAAAGACTCTCGGGTCAGCCCTAGTCAGAGAAGAAACAATCGGTCGAAGAAAGAGCCTGGCAAAACTAACAGCTTGCGGACAACCAGCCAAGATCCCCTGCGCCGGCAGGACCGGCTCAGAGCTCAGATCCTCTGCTAGGATCCACCTTGCAGCCTCATGTGCAGAGATGGCCATCTGCAAGAGTAATGGTGGGTGTGAAATGTCTAAGCCTCTCGCCGCCAGGAGCTCCAGCGAAATGTGATCATAAAAGTGTTTCAAATCAAGCAAGATGACAGCGTGACACAGCCCAAGGACTTTGGACGCTTCGGCTCGAAGCTGCCTCTCCTGGGAAACTGCTTCAACATGCCCTCCAGGAACTACCCTGTCCCAAGCAGTGCAGTGCTGTGTGCTCTTAACTCAGGCGGTGAGCAGATGTTGGCGGCACTTGTTCCAACACCTATACAGCGTGCTGGTTAAAGCAATGGGCCGCTCAGCCACTTGATCCTTAGGCAACATTGCAATAGCGACATGTTGCAGTTGAACTGGCCAGGTAACTTTCAACTCTGCTTGCCGCAGGTGATAAACTAAATCAGCTTGGCCTGGCTCTGGCAGGCTCAACAAATCTCCAACCGTCCAGGCGTCTAACCCGGGCCTTTTGCGCGCCATTGATCTCAGCGTATGCGTGAGTTGAGTCGAGCTGATCATGGGCAGGCTTTCTGCCTGTGCAGCAGCTCGGGATTTTAGAGCAACTCGCGCGGGACTAAATTCCGAGCGAGGCTCAACCTCACCCCAGATCTCAGCCCAGTACTCCCTCCACAAACGGGGCCTTTCCTGAACCTGGGCGTCAGCAAAAGGCCTGTCCAGGACAACCTCCCTTGCTTTAGGAGTTTGATGCGCGAGGCGTCCACCCTTTGGAAAGGAATTGCCGCATCACGATGTGCGGTGTTTCGCTGTGACTGACGCTCTGCCTGCCACGCAGCTTTAGAATGGGCCTCCAGCTCCTCCAAAACAGCATCTCGCGCAAAGGGCCTGATTACTCCAAAGGAATTAATTGCAAGTTGCAAGCCCAAGACCTGAAAATGAGCTTTCGGAATAGGAAACAGCCAGTGTTTGTGAAGATCACCTGCCATGCTGCTCAACGTGCAGAGCTTTTGTTTCAAGGCCACGCAACCCTGATTTGCAGCCATTAGCCTTACCAAGTCAGAAGCAATTCTATGCAGTCCATGCCAAAAGCTGACTGTGCGATCCTTCCATTGCACACTCAGGGGTTTAGGGGAAGCTTAGGCTTATGCGCAAGGGCAATGACCGTTCCTCTGCCCCGACAATCCTCAGTTGGCTCAACACAAGTGGAAAGCAACCAGTCCTCAAACTGCAGAGACCATGAAGTGAACCATTCCTCCTGCAGCTCATCACCGTTAACAGGATGACAGGGACCCTAAATTCCTAAATGCGACGAAATGCTCCCACGGCAAACGGGGTCCCTCACAACACCCAGTGTTGAGCCCTGCGCGTGTGTGGCAAAGGCTGCAGGACAAGTCCTATGTCCAACTTTGCACGTAAACCATAATGAGGTTTCCACCTCACTTGCAACTCAAGCTCAAGCTGCGCGACTGATTGCAAATCACGATGCGCAAGACAAAAATCAAGCTCATTGCCGGAACAAATGGTGGCATTACGGCTTCTCACGACATGTCCCTTAGTAAGCTGACAGAAGGAGGTGGAACTCAATTCCTCAGGCGTGCAGTTCCAGTCCCCAGCAACAAGCCGGGGAACAGCCTGCGTTCTCAGAAACGCTGCCAACTCTTCAAGAAGTCTGCAATTAGGGAGTAGGCATCATTAA